ACCCACATCAGAGCTGACACATGAAAAATGGTGAAATTACTGAAGGTAGTCCAGCCTGAATAAGGACTACCTTATTAGTTCAGGTACTTGCATCTCCCTAATTTTCATATTAATCATGTGTCCATCTTTCTTTGAAATAGGGCCATCATGCTTCATGTCAGAATTTAGCATGTAAGTAAAATTCATAGTGCTTCAAATCTCACTTGAAAATATTTAGATGAAGAGAACAGTGACTAATTTTATTACTCCTATCTAACAAAAATGAGATTTATTTTAGTCCATTTGCACTACATATACAACATGAAGAAGTTGGCAAATAAAATAAAAAAAAAATTAAAAGTAGTCTCCCAAACCCTCAAAAAAACAAACCCAAAAGATAATATGGAGCTTTCCCTATTTAACACAGCTGCTACACATTGTAATGCACCCATGTTATATATTTCTCATCAATTTTTACAGTTTCCACTGATTAAATATATACTGACTCATAAAGTATTACCATTACATCAATTGTCAGCAGATGCAAGAGTATGTAATTTAAATATTAACTATCATATAAAAATGGCAGCTTGATTGTTTGGAAGCAGTAATCTGGTGCTGGTTATTGCCGCTTTTCCCTAATGCATTAGGCAGCAGTCACAAAATGCATTACCTTTCTTATTTACCTGCTACTACAAAATCAGAAGCAGGTAAGTTCTTTGTATATCTTCCCTTTCTTAGATTTAATTTTTGTTTATTTCTGAACTGCAGATATCTTTGATCTGAATTGCAAAAAATGCACTAGTATAATATAAACAAAGATATACTCACTGGAGTCAAGAAATTATATGCATCATCTCTAAATCAACGCGAAAAATATACAAAGAACCAGTAACAGATATATTACTTTGCGCTTGAAATATTTTTATGACAGCTCCCATATAATATGGGTGCGATATATCATGAATTGGGTTGTTTACCTAAATTCTTAATAAGATTGTACTTCTTTATGTAAAGCACATTCTATTCTCAGTACTTTAAGACTTGTCTTTTCCAGAAACAGTAAGAAGCTACACTTTACCACTAACATGAAATAAATCCTTTATTCTATGCTAACTGTACTATCAGGATATGTGGACACTTCACAGACCATTAAAACCTTCTAGTAATTGATAGGTAATCGCTCATTTGCTGGCTGCAGCAATGTACATGAGAGAGAAACCATTCTTTCTTACTAATGTAACATGTAGAACTTGCTGCTATTGCAGCACTTAATGTTCGCAGTGCCATATCATTTTTAATGCAAACACTCATTTTCTGCCTCTTTCTTACATTTTCTATTAAAATGCAACACAAAACAGCATACATTTCATTCTATCCCTTTGAGGGTTGCATAAGCAGTTCCAAGGAATATCAGCTATTGTACTGTTATTATTATTGTAAATAAATATTTTAGGGTTCAAGTGGTAGGTAGCTATTTAATCTTTTTTTTTTTTTTTTTTTTCCTAGGAGTCCCCCTGCCACTCTTTCAAACTTTTTACATCTTCTTTCAGGTAGTGCTTTAGATAGCAGTTTTTAATACAAATAACACCTTGCATCCCAAGGCAGATTCATATTCTAGTTAATAAACAGCATCAATAAATTTGTCAAGACTTTAATGGCAACCGTACTGAACTTTTCATACACCAGCTTTTCTAAGGAAATGACTATATGGAGGAATTTATTCTGCTTAATTGCTTTATATTAAGCAGTTTTCATTAGCCATCCTCTAACCCGTATGAAGAGAAATAAATGGAGTCAGGCAAATGAACTGTTTTAACCCTTCCTATTACTAACAAATCCCCAACTTTAGATGGATTTTCTTATTAAAAACGAGGAATCAAATATAAATAAAATTGACACAGCTCCATTTAATCAATGGGGGAATTTTTAGCAAGTTTGTGTATTAAAGACCTATGGTCTGTCTGAAATTTCCAGCAAAATACAAATTCAGAGTTTCTTACACATTCGCCTTGAAGTTAAGAGACTAATTACATTAACTGATTTATTAATAAATGGAGCTTTTTGTCTAATTATTGTAAGTACTAACAGACTGGGGAACCATTTTAAATGTCTAATGTGCCTTGAAACCAATTTTTTTAGGTTAATTACATTTCTCACTAAAGTCACTATAGATATGCCCCTTAGGTTTTACACTGGAAGATTAAAGAAAAAGTAAAGATGATTACCTCATTGGCCAGCTCCAGTAATACAGGGGCAGCTGCATTTTTCATCACCCCATTCAGGTACCTAGACAAGACAAAGCCAGGTAATTCTGCAGTGGCAAGTAAAGGCCAGTTTATACATGTCAGTATGCCTTGTGAATCTCTTTCATTTGCAGGAAAATACCTTAGTAGAAAGCATTTAATGGGAGATCTGTTAAGAAACAAGTATTTCAAACAACCACTAACTCTCCAGGGTTGTCCCCTATTTATCGGCAAGCTATACCAATCTCAACTAAGTCACTGGTAAAAAACACAATAAATCAAGACAAAAAAATTTTGGCTTAATGACATACAAATAAATTCTATCTGTACTACTTAAAGATGCATCACAGACAAATAAACCCCTGTTATTCACAGTAAAGATTGTGGGTTCCACGTGACCTTCAGCTATGGTGGTGCACCATATATTTTATTGAATTCACTACTATGCACAAAAACATAAATTCTCAAATTTAATCCAGATTTCATCAACTGGGCAGTAGTTTAAATACTAAAGGGTTACTTTAGTGAAATCAGAGTCTAACAATCAAATTAATATTCTAAACAGAAGATAAAAGAAGAAATATTCAGGATCCAATAAAGGGTTGTAGAAAATCATTACCCTATCAATGGCAAAGGCTTAACATTTCTGGTTAAGGGTATTAGACCAATATGGATACACAGTGATGTTTCTGACCATCGCATCACACAATATCGCTTTCCTCACCTCTGTTACTTTCACTGTTTGATGTTTACTTTTCAATAATGCCTAAAACCTGTTCTAAGGAGCTGATGGGAAAAAGCTGTATTATAGGAAGCCACTTTGTGCTTTGCAGCCATGTGGAAAAGAACAATAGTTACCAACATTTGAACCTGCTCATTTATCTGTATTCATATAGCACATCATTACTGACATCATTAGAAGGCCACAGCCTTTCCAGCTCTATCATTATCTATCCATCAGAAGCCACTCTTCTGCTCATTAGTTACAGACGTTAAAATTCTTTATCATTTTACCTTTCTGTGGAATGGGTGTAAAACCTTCACATAAACCTCTTCACAGAGGATTAGAGGGCTTTTTGTTTGCAAGTTATTCTGAGGCTTAATGAAAAAAGGAAATGATAAAAGCTTTTTGCTGTAACCTATTTAAATTCTACATAAAAAACCACAAACCAAGATGCCTGGTATATAGTTAAACACTGAAAATTTACAACAAAAGGAAAAAAAAGAGAGATTATAAACAAAATACCTAAACAGGAAGATTTAATTGAGATTAATGTTCTAAAACACACATCTAGTTGATTGAACAGCAAAGCTACAACTGACAACGGAGTAATTTTCTGTCAGATATTTCTAATGTTACTGGCAATTCCGTTACGGACTAACAGGTCTCACATGTTCATGGTAATATTGTTCTGAAAAGCTTGCTGATCCTTCTCCTAGTTTGCCTTCGTGTTTGCCTAAATTTAAGACTAGTAAGTCTCAGCAGAGCAGCAGAAACTACCCCACTCAACTGTACTTCCACTTGCTCCCAAGAGGGACCACTGGAAACGGCTACCTTCAAAAATTGTTAGTTTCTGACCTAGGAAAGCAATAGGAGCACAACTATTTGCTTGTATGTGTGTGGGAATAGGAAGAAGCATACCACACAGACTGGGGTTTACAGCAGTAAGATGGATGCTACAAAAGAGTAAAGGAGAAGACATCTTTGTCATGCTTACGCTTGAAGCATTTCAAACGGGCTTCTGACTCAAGTAGTCAGCCCCTGCAGCTTACGAAACATACTACACAGTAAATCTACTGAAACAGGATTGAGATGAGTTTTCTAACTATTAACCAGAACAACTCTGATTTTAAAACATGTGCATTTTATTCAGCTATGTTAATACATTTGCAACATGAAATACCCAGAAACAGCATAAAGAATGATTTTCTCTACCACCACCATACAGCTTCATACATAATGCATTAGTTATGTACTGCTATCATACTTCAGACAGTACAGAAGGGGACAGGAGACCAAATCCTCCTACTTGATATGAGCAAAAGTTAATCATACCTACAACCTTACTGACACTAATACAACTGCTGCTTTGCATAAAGCAAAACTTGGTCTCATGTTTCAGGTTTAAGTTGTTAGAACTATTAACACGATCATCATAAAAGTGATTTAAATAATTTACACGTGTTCTAAGAAAAGTGTTATTTACACAGCAGTTACCATCAGCATAGGGCACTTCACTGAAACTGCGCTAGTGAAAAGCAATTAAAAATAGTACTGTATATACATGGTTATCAACACAACAAAATTTTAAGCCAATATTCTTCCTAAACACTAGGAAAAGTGCAATGTGATCCAGTACAAATTTTTACAGAACAATACAACTACTGAAAAAAGAAAATCAAACCCCAAAACAGCACAACTCACACTAAATATTCTAAACCAGTGTCTGATATAATCAGGGTGTGCTTAGGTTTTAAATACATGACTCTGCAGAAGCACAGTTAATTGTTTATAAATGAAGGCTTTTTGTTGACTTTCCTGATTCATACAGATTAATATTAAGCATAAATATCAGACACCTATAATCACAAGTATGAACTCACTTGCCATGCAAGCTCCTCAGATATGTCAGTCTACAAAGTAATATTTTAATTGGGCATCTTTACCAGTTATCAGTATGCCCCAATTATGTCATTGCAATATTTTTAATAAAGCCTACAGAAGTAACAGACAAACTACAAGGTGTAGCAAATACAATTTGCTAGCTTAAGATGCAAACAATCGCAAAATATTGTAAAATGACATAAAGGTTTTCACCCTCCCTTAACAGCTATTTCTGACACTTCTGTTTATAAAACAGGAGTGAACTAAAATTAGTGCTCTAACTGGCAATAAATGAATTTAATATGTAACTTTTTGTAATGTAACAGAAATGTTCTTTTAAAAGTACAAGCAACTGTAAGAGATCAAGCTTTTTTTGCTGTAAGAAAGTTATCAATATTAGTCTTGACACAGAAATCCTGTAATTAAAAACTATAGGCAATATATAATAAATACTCCTACATACACTGTAAAAAATATTTGCTTCTCCTGACTTACAGCAACAGAAGTAAACCCTTTCTTAATTTGACTGACCAAAAGCTGGGAAATTTCTGTATTTTCACTGAAAAACATTTTTAGGTGAACTGTTCTGTACTCCCCATCCCAAAATTTAATTTTTTTTAATATAAAATTAGCTTCATAAGCTAATAAGCTAATTTACTCACAATTGCCATAACAATTATTAGTTATGATACTCTTAACTGGGGTGGTGAGGTCATACCTTTGGTAGTAAGTTTCAACAGCTTCAGCAGTGTGATGCTTGGCATGTGTTCTTTTGATTTGTTTCTAAAAAACCAGAAAAACAAAGAGTCTTACAAATGTGTCATAGATCAAAACACAGAAATCATGACTGCCCAAACACATGTTCCTTGGCTACACTTTGATATATAAACTGAACTATGTTTTTAGATTCCGTACAGAAATGACATTCAGTCTACCTATTGAACCGAACGTCTTCAGACTGTACTGCAATGTACCATATATGTAAAGGCCAATAAGGTCACAATAATTGAATCTAAATAAGTTTACTGAAGGCTACAGAGGGCAAAGAAAAACTTGTTCTCTCATTCAACCTTTGTATTAATTTTCCCTCAATTCAATTCCATCTAAGTCTGGTGCACTCCAGTTTTACAATTCAATTGGCATTTTTAACCAGGAAGAACATTGCTTAAAAACAACTTATTTGAAAAACTACAAAAAGTAATTCCATAGAGACTTGCCACTTGACTGACACCTGTCATCTCATGATAAATGACTCCATTTTCTGCCTCTCTTGCCTTCTGCCACTCCGGCAATGGTCATTTATCATCATCTCTGTCAGGAATGGAAAGCAGCACTGACAGTGCAAGTCAGCAAACATTTAGCACATGGAACCACGCAACACAGTGAAATTATTATTGTCAGAATAATAATGGTTTAGCATAATTTATTACAGGTCCACCAAATAAGCAAAGGCTAGATGTTATTAGACAGATGGATGGGTAGGCTTGGCAGCCATCCACTGAGACTCAGGCGGTGCTTGATGTGGAAAAGGGAACATCCTCCAAACCAATCAGAAAGCTGGCAGTTCAATTACAAAGAAATAAAGGGACATTCATCATTCAATTAGGCACCTGTCAACCCTCACAAAGGAGAAAACTTCTAACCTGGTACTCCTGGGAGAAGATGCTCAGCAGAGTGGACTGCGATTGACTGGAACAAATAAAAGAAGGACAAAGTTAATTACTGGAGTGCACTGCAAAGAAACAAAAGAGAAGGGAGCTTCAAAGGTAGGCCTGCTGCCCTGTAATCTAACAGAACATGAAAACAAGTGTGGAAAAGTTGTTCCAGATGAACACCTCAGACAAAGACTTCCTGCTGCTAGGTCAAGGAGAGAGCGTACGAGGGAGGGGAGGAAAATATAGCAAGAGTTTCAAAGTAAATAAATATACGAGCATACTGTTTGGGTGATTCCTTTTTCAGCTCAAGAACCCACAAATCCTATTAGGAGCAGGTAGACGAGTTAAAAGGGAACAGGCAAAAAGGAAAACAAAGCAAAACTTCCATTAATAATTGATAGAGTCAAAATCCATCAGCAGTTGGGAACATGCCATGCGTTCATTGGCAACATATTGAAATTCATTTTGTTAGCAGCAAGGGAACCTCTTCAGTAGCTGTCTCATATTCAGGTTAAAAATTTCCCCCTCTGTCAGAAGTAGCATATGGGACCACTGGAACATTCCCACTGAAACTGATGTGCTTTGAAAATAGAAACTTTCACAGCAGGGAGCAGAGATTCCCCAGAGTCGGTCATTTCCAAAAGCTGCCATAAGCTTCATTCATGTAAAGCTCCACTCAATGTCAAACACCTGGCAATGAAGCAACCTGGAAAGCATTCTTCCCAAGTGGGAATTTTTCTCTCTGAATTGTTAACATTTAGAAAAGGGACAAGATTTTTTTTTTTTTCCCCTCTGAAAGGCAATCGATACCACGCTGCTACAGTTTTCAATTGTCCTCTCTGGATATATTTACCTCATCGCATCCTGAATACAATTAATTACTCCTGATATATTTTCCTACTACATGCAACTTGAACAAATTATAGCTTCAATAAATCCAGTTTTATAGTACAGCAAAACATTATGAATAATTAAAATTTTTCCTTTTGTGAACTCACCTGCTAAGGCATAGCATAGGTAGTTCAAAGATTCAGCAATGTCTGGCTCTTCTGCCAGATTTCTTGTATGTGAATTTAACACCTGCATCACATCATATATACATTAAATGTAAATATCCTCTCCATACTTAAACGGTCCTTCTCCTTGCAATTTTCATGCCTCAGAAATACTAATTTAAGATAAGAAAGTTTTACTCCCATTTTCAAAAGGGAAAACTGAGGCACAGAACGACTGAATGGTTTGTTCAGGTTTAAACAGGTGGTGTATCTATGCAGCACAGTATAAAATGTTACCTCTAAAATAACCAGTTGAAGCATTAGCAACAAAGCAAACAGCTTAAAACAATGTTATATAAAGAGCGTAATAGTTTGTCTTATCCATATCTGTGCTTCTAGTATCTTTGTCATAACACCGTATTTTGGGCTTGTCTGCCCAGCACAGCATCTGTGTGACAGCAGTAAGCTGAGCCTTGATTTCCAGTATTTTACACATGAGAATGTTCACCCTCAGTACTCACTGACTGAATGTTAAAACTGTAGAAAATTATAGCAACATAAACTAATATACATTTATGAAATTAATAGCTTACAGAAAAATGAATTACAATTAGTCAATAATTTAAATATTCTTTAATATACATCATTTGACACAGAGGCCAGGAGATACGTACCAAAATGCCTCCCCAAAAGGTGCAAGACCCAGTTACAGCAACCTTCAACATGCACATGTAATCATCGTAAATTGAACAAAAGAAAGAAATCAGGATTATATACTTACACAGGCTATATACATATGCAAAGCTAAGGTATTTCAAGTTGATTTATTAAAAAAAAAAAAACCTGCACACTATAAATAAATTGGTTACATATGGCCCCGTAATGGCTCTCCATGTAACTATTATTATCTGGCAGATTTACATGGTCGTAACGGTAGAACTGAATTCAGAAAAAAGGTGTAAAAAAACCCCCAAAAAACAGGACAGCATTTAACTGTATTCCTGGTTTGAGTTCTCTCCTACTAACAATTTTTGCATTTTTAGGCTATTCCCAGTATGATTACTGTACTTATTGTACCATTATCCTATCATACCCACTGACATATCAAAAAGAATTAAGACCGTTATCCCTCTCTTCACACTCCAGACTCTTGTCCATTTTACTCCCTTGGTATCCTTGGATTCTGCCTTTCTACCTCAGGTTAGTCCGATACTCCTCTTCTACACTTCCAACTGTTCAGATCATTTAGGACTTACCACAAACACTAAAAAATTCAGTCTAATAACTGAAGAAGTTGGATATATACTGGATTGCAGTACAAAAACATTATGACTGTGACAAAGACAGTTATTTCAATAGTACCATTCAAAGGATTTCAAGCCTTACTACCAGAAGATCTTTCTCCTTCCCCAGGAAAAGCGGATTTATATCTTTGCATGGCTGCGTTCATGTTTCTTCTGGTTAACGTAAAACACTAAAACCCCTTATTTGCCAATCAGTGTTCCTTGCCACAATTCCACTGCCACAACTTCCTGGCAAAATGAAATAGCTCCTCAAAACACAGCTGGAGCATCTCTTGCAAGATGCCATTGACAGGAAACTGAAAAATCATGGTTTTGGAAAGTGCTGAAAAAGACAGCACTGTGTACTTGGAGAGGGGACAGAAGTCACAAACACACACTTGCATTGCAAGACAGCACTATCACAACTGATATTGACAGCAGGGATACTGCCACATAAATTATCATTACTTCTACAGGATCAGCCAAATTCCTAGGGCTCCATCCGTCCTCTGATGCTTCTATGCAGGATTTCAAAGCAGCAAATAAGTAGTCAAATTAATAGATCTGGGATATCCAGGAAAACAAACATAACACTGAAAACATCTTTTACGCAAAAGAACATTTCAGCACTGCATTATCGCCTCTTATGGAACAAACTTTACAGTAAGTCTCATGGCTTACTAGAGATATAGACGTGTTTGTGTTGAGCAAGCTCTTTTTCTCGAGAGCCAGCTGTAGAGCCACAGACTTGCTGATTTTCTGAAACAAACAAAAACCCCCAAATTTATAATTGCAAGTACTACCTAGTCTAAATAATTTATTAATTAGCTTGTGATCCATCTAAATCTATTTTCCAGGAAAATGAGAAAACTTTGGCCTTAAGTTCTATAGCAGTCACTTTCAAGGAAACATTTTCTGCAATTCCAGATGGTAATGGATCTAACTCGCAGAGCTCTGTTCAAAGCAACCAGCCTCGTTCTTCAAATATCCTCTTTTCTTGTACATCAGCATCCATAATGAACCAATTTCCCTTTTTTTACTCTGTGTTGATGTCAGTGGCATACTTCCATCTGAATGCCTGATGCACTTTGTACTCTTGTCAACACATAACTGGATTTAGGCAGAAAACTGTGAATCTATAGCCTGCTACAAAATGCTCTTTTTTTTCCAAAGAAAATAACTTATTTTTTTTTTAAATGTCATTTATAGGTTCCAAATTGTATAAAGATATAAAAACTTTCTTATAATAACAAAAAGTATTACAGATATCAAAGTCCATCCACATTTAGAACGGGATGCCCAAATCAGACCAGAACAAGAGACAAGAGAAATTATCTCTAAGAACTCAGACATCAGTCAAGCTGAAAAGATAACTGCAAGTCTAGTGCTGGAAAAAAAATACACCTTTTGGTCATTTAATATTTAAGAATAAAATTTAGACTATTCTCTTCTAATGAATCCCGGAACCTGGTAGAGGAGGAATGCTATCATCCTTGGAGAGTATTTTAAAAATGTTTTGTTTTGTAATGAGTATTCAGATATAAGCTGATAACAGATATAAACTGGTAACAGACAACATGCTGATGCAGATCAGTGCTTCATAACTAGAGTTGATATAAAACTCTGGCCAAGAAGCTGCTAGAAAGGACAAAAAGAATTTGATTGGATCATATCATCTGCTCAACAAGGAAGGCTTACAGATCTGGACAAGATTCGTGGTGCTGTCCAACTTAATATTTGCTATTTACTACAGCCTCACCAGAAGAAAATCCAAATGTGGCAACTTCTGAAAATATTATATTATCAGTCCTTGCAAATAATTAATTATTTAGGGATAAGATAAAACTTACACTTTTCTACCTTCTCTTTTGAGATTACTGAGAATATAAAATTGTAGGTACAATACCAAGTTTCCACTTCTTTTATCTGTTCATTTTAAAATGAGTTTCCCTTCCCTCACCTTTAACTTTTTGCCTAAAATAGAAGAACCAAAAATTCAGCTTACATGTCATAGAATAAAGGAAGAATATCCAGACAGATCTGTATGAAAAAAAATCAAGAGTAAGTATGAACTGCAGTACTTAATCCAGTAATTATTCACCAAGTGGAGACAAGCGGGGGAGAGCAAAGTTCATAATGAGATACTATATATATAGGATAGCCTTGATTTTTTTTTTTAAACAAGTGAAAGCTCAAAGAGCATTGCTACATTGCTTCCCTTTCACAAAATGGAACATTCCACCTCATTAAGACAATAAATATATTGGTTAAAAAACTGAGTGTGGGGGCATGAGCTGGGTTTCCAAAATTCAGAAGCTCTTACATGTGAAATCCCAAAGCAGCAGTGTCAAACCTTCTCTTGGAAGTGCATACAACACTGCACTTAGCTATTGTAGGAACCGAGGTAGATGGAGAAATTGCTTCTTTACTTCCACATTCTCCAGCATGAGTGTGTAGTGCTAGTCATATCCCTTCATGAAATGTTCTGAAGCAAACAGCAGGAGTCTCTCATTTCTGAAGAAGAAAAGAACTTCCCCTTTCCATATATAGTAAGTTTTTAAACATTTTTACTAATCCAATATGGAGCTTTAGGGATAGAATTGCATGGTGCTGCCATGCTGGATTAAGAATCTATGTCAAGAAAGAAATACTTATATTCGACAAATTTAAATGATTGGGGGCGGAAGGGGAATTCTCCTTTATAGCTACCCTGAAATTCCAGAATGTGTGTTTAAAATACATTTTTCCTGCTACATTATCAAAGACATGAAAGAAACTCAAACAGCCTTTTAATTCTCATAGTTTTGTACTGCAAATGCTTTGGAACAGGGACTCCTAAAGAAAGCGATGTTTCTATACTGCTTATCACCTGCTAACCAGTCCGCTCTTATTTATAAAAACTCTGTCAATAATGGATTTCAAATAGATCTAGCAGCAGCGGTTCAAATACATAACACATGCATGGATCCGTAAAGCCTCCGTGGCTTCCCAGAACAGGAGGATGTAGGCTAACAAGCACACAGTTACAGCTGTAAATCAACTAAAGCCAGCCTGATGGTGAACTTCCCAACTGAGAGTAGGGGACAACTAGTGGATTCTCAGAATTTCTTCTACATGTCTGGATTGTCAGGATGGGAAAAAAATCTTCTTGGCAGTCTGAATGGTTCAACATGAGGATCCAGGAACGCTCAGGAATAACAACAGCCTACCAAAGCTTGAGAACCGCTAGACTTAAACTCATTCAAGCAGTGAATAACACGAACAAGGAAGAGAGACTCACTGACCTCTAGAATACTTACGGCTTTAACCTCTCTTCACTGCAGCTTTTAATATTAAAATCTCTCCTAAAGTTTTAATATGCCTGTGGTCACTTCTCTGAGAAGTCTCAAAAAGCAGGTTATTGTCTCTGTATACATTTGTACTTTATCATTCACAAATCTAACACTGACTTACCAGAAGTCAGTGAATTACCAATTTAAACTAAATCAATATACATGTCTATATATATGTGTGTGTGCGTGTCACTATATATGTTTAAATCAATATATGAATTTGAATTGGAGTAACTAAGTGACATGAAAGTACCTAAGTCTTTAGTTACAACACGGTAACTTCTGTAAAGTGGCTATCTTCCAATGTTACAGCCTTCCAGCTACACCAGTTCAAGTCTGGGATACAAAACTAGTTTTACTATCTCTGCACAAGTGGCCTTTCATACAATGAAACATTATCATTAG